AGTAGCTGGGACTACAGGCATGCGCCACCATGCCCGGCTAATTTTTTCTATATACATTAGTTGGCCAATTAATTTCTTTCTATTTATGGTAGAGACGGGGGTCTCGCTCTTGCTCAGGCTGGTCTCGAACTCCTGACCTCGAGCAATCCGCCCGCCTCGGCCTCCCAGAGTGCTAGGATTATAGGCGTGAGCCACCGAGCCCGGCCTTGGAATAGAGTTTTAACAGGACACAGAGTCATCCAGCTAAAAGCTATGCTTCCCAGCCTCCCTTGCAGCTAGATGTGGCTACGTTCCAGCCACCAGGCTGTGAGTGTGACATTTCTGAGTCTTACTTATTGGACATCTCCTTTTTCCCTTCCTGTTGGCAGAGGAGGAGTGCTCAAACAGCCAACTTCCACCCCAAGGTGGAAAGCATGAATTGGGCATACTATGTGAGAAGAAATGCATGTGAATTCGAGGTAGAAGTCAGAAGTGGCTCTCCTTGTGACATTGCATGTGTGCTGGGGACTCTGGGAAGGGCACCTCATTATACTAACTCACAGGAAGGCTCCAAGGGACTGATGGTGGCTCTGGAGCAGAGCTGTTCTGTTGAAATCCAGTACGCTTGTCGTACTGCCAGCCCGTCTCAATTCAGATTCACTGTATTTCCAGCGCTCAGTGGCCACGTGTGTCTGGTGGCAGCGCAGGTCTGGATGTTGAAGACAAGGAAGAAGGGACACCAACATTAATCATGGAGAGTGGTGCAGACACAATCCCCCCTGCAACTTCATTTCCAGAGAGTCATCTGCAATAAATATTTGCGAGTCCCGGGATATATGTGCACGAGGGTGATCGCGACCTTATGCCCCAAACGTTGGAAACTACCTAAAACTCTACCAGTAGGGAAGTGACGAAACAAACACTTTTCAGACTAACAAAGGATTGATCACGCTGTTAACACAGAACAAGGGGTTTTTAAATGTATTTACGAAAAACATTCTAAAAAAAGTGGTGGAGTACATTGTTGGAACAGTGGATGGGGTTTCAGCGAGGGTGCAGGTGGCGTTGTGTCAGTTTCACGTTTCCACGTGACCACTATACTGTGGGTGTCACAAAGAATAGCCTTGCTCTTGAGAGAGACACAGTGCAGAATTCAGGGTAAAGGGACATGATGTTTCCACCTTTCAACGATTCAGGGGAAAATATAAATAGACGCATGACACAGACATGGATATATGGTCTACTAATGTCCTAGGGCTGGCCGGTCCCCGCCATTGTGCGAAATATTTGAGATATTTCTTACAGTCTCCCTATCTCTCATTGGTTCTGATTTTCTGGAAAATCCTGATTGCAATCTGCACCCCCGGCGCCCACATATGCACAGGTGGAGCGTAGTATAATGCGCGTCGTCAAATGCTAGCAGTGATGGAGTCTGGACGGAGAGAATGAAAGAGTTGCTTTCGCTATTCCTGCAACGTCTCTGGTTTTTGACATTCTATCAACAGAAAAAGTTATTCTGAGAAGGGGTTCGTAGCTTCATCAAAGGTCCAGGGCACAGAAAAGGTTGAGAACCCGTGATTTAAGGCGGGATGCAGCTTTGGTCCGAAGTCCTGCAAGTCAAGTGGAGGTGGCCCCCTGAGCCTCCCCGCTCTCGCGCCCCCTGGCGGTCAAGGAGAGAACAACACCATATTCCTCTGACGCCCCCAAATCCCACAAATTGACCTTCAAAATCCTGCTGAGTAGCGTATTATGGCTGCATCAAGCGGAACTAAAACGTGCTGACCGTCACATCACGCACCTGCGTGTCCATCTCCCACGACAAACACTACATTTGTGAAATTCTGGGTAAATACACTCCAGACTGAGTTCAGAAGAGTGATGAGTAGGGACATTTCGGTATGAGTCTTTTTTTCTTTCTTTTTTTTTTTTTTGGGCAGGGAAGTAGTGCATCTTTGGATTGGTTGAATGCTTGGAATGAACATAGATTGCCTTTGCAATGAAAAGAAACCTAGATTTTTAAAAGTTGCCAGATTGCTGGTCGACAAAATACCTTGGGGGAAAGATATAGGTGATACATTGTAGAGTTGCAGGACAACATGGAAAAAAAATGAGCCTGTTTCTTAATCATCATAAGATTTGCAACTCATTGTGGTAGGACCCATGGGGGGGGGTTCTGAGCTATGGCTGCCATATAAAATGCAAGACTCCCAGATAAAATTTGAGTTTCAGATAAACAACAACAATGCTGGCCGGGCGCGGTGGCTCACGCCTGTAATCCTAGCGCTCTGGGAGGTCGAGGCGGGCGGATTGCTCGAGGTCAGGAGTTCGAAACCAGCCTGAGCAAGAGCGAGACCCCGTCTCTACTAAAAATAGAAGGAAATTAATTGGCCAACTAATATATATAGAAAAAATTAGCCGGGCATGGTGGCGCATGCCTGTAGTCCCAGCTACTCGGGAGGCTGAGGCAGGAGGATCGCTTGAGCCCAGGAGTTTGAGGTTGCTGTGAGCTAGGCTGACGCCATGGAACTCTAGCCTGAGCAACAAAGCGAGACTCTGTCTCAAACAACAACAACGCTTAAAAAAAAAAAAAATCAGTATAAGTATATCCCAGGGAATATTTGGGATATACTTATACTAAAAAAATAATTTGTTGTTTATGTGATATTCAAAGTTAACTGGGCGTTCTGTCATTTGTGTGTGTGCTAAATCGGCTCTATTCTGTGCAGAGGAGTGTCTCAGTCTGACTTAGATTTTAGGATCCCTCTGATTGCTGGTAGAGATTAGACTCAGTTCGGGGAGTGGAGTGCCCAGTGAGGAGGCTACTGCCACCACCTCCCAGCAAGAGGTGGTGGCAACTTGGATCAGGGTAATAGGGCCAAGATGGTGAGGGGTTGACAGATTTATGGATCCATTTTGAAGGAAAGGCCATGTCCAAGCTCCTCAGCTTGTCATGCGGGGCTTTTTGCTACCGCTGGGCACTCTTGTCCTCTAGCCTCTCCGACCCTGTAGCAGACAGAATGATGGCCCCCAATGAAGTCCACGTCCTAATCCCCTGAACCCGTGACTGTGTGAGCTTACAGGGCGACAGGGACTCTGCAATGTGATTAAGGCAAGGGTCTTGCGATGGCGGGATGATCTTGGGGCACCCAGGCAGGCCCCATTTGATCCCAAACATCCTTATATGAGGGAGGCCGAGGGAGACACTGAGGGACACTCAGTGGCGGAGGGACGGTGTGACCACAGAGGCAGAGATTGGAGGGATGCAGCCACAAGCCAAGGATCCCAGCAGCTGCCGGGACGGGGAGAGATCAGGAACAGATCCTGCCCCGGAGCTTCCGGAGGGGGTGTAGCCCCGCTGACACCCTGACCTTGGACTTCTGGCCTCCAGAACTGAGCAAGAATCAATATCTGGTGTTTTAAGCCACATGTTTTGTGGTAATTTGTTATAGAAACCACAGGAAGGAAAGATAGCATCCTTCCGTGCCCAAAGCTCTAGCCTGTCTCGAGAGGACCCAGGGTAAACCTGGGAGAGATGACACGCGGACTTCGTTTCCAAGTCAGATGGCTGTGGCTTGGCGGGGAGAGTGGAGTGGGGGTTGGTGGCCCCTTGTCCTGCCAGCTTCAAAACCCTAAAGGAAGATTTATTAATAAGAGCAAAAGGCCGGGCAAGGTGGCTCACGCCTGTAATTCTAGCACCCTGGGAGGCTGAGGCGTGAGGATTGCTCAAGGTCAGGTGTTCGAAACCAGCTTGAGCAAGAGCGAGACCCCGTCTCTATTAAAAAAAAATAGAAAGAAATTATCTGGACAACTTAAAATATATATGGAAAAAATGAGCCGGGCATGGTGGTGAATGCCTGTAGTCCCAGCTACTCGGGAGGCTGAGGCAGGAGGATCGCTTGAGCCCAGGAGTTTGAGGTTGCTGTGAGCGAGGCTGATGCCACAGCACTCTAGCCCAGGCAACAGAGTGAGACTCTGTCTCAAACAAAATAAATAAATAAAATAGCAGCAAAATGCCCCTAAGTGCTGTGCCACCTCCACAGACCTGTTTGATCTCTCTGGGCCTCAAAACAGCCTGGCCGGGGGGCTGGGGGTCACAATCCCTGCTCTCCAGGGATCCCAGGTGTGTTTAGGCCAACTGGACCCCTGAGGTTTTCCCCCCAAAGCTTGGGGCTCTAGAAGGAAAGAGAGATATGGCCCCAAGTGGGGAAACTGAGGCCGGGAGACGGGCCAAACCTGGGCGCGAGCCCCTTCCACCCAGCTTCCTCCCTTCTCGGAGCAGGAACTTCTTGGGTTTGGGGAGTCTCGTCCTCCCTTCTCTGGGCAGGAGGCCGTGTCTAGAGTTCCCTGGCGGGCCGGGCGGTGCTCGGACCAATGAGAACTCCAGGGAGGGCAGACTGGTCATTTCCTCCCTGCTGCCTGCATCTGGCCTGTGGCTTTAAAAACCACAGCCCGAGGGCAGGAGGGACCTGCCATCACCCTTCGGTCATCGGTCATCGGGAGCCCGGAGCCCAGAGATGGTGAGTCTCGAAGGGGGATGGGTGCAGGTCACTCTTCCCCCGTCCCCCGATCTGTGCCCCTGGGGGCCCCTTTCTCTGTCCCCAACTCTCCCTTCTTGCTCGTGTCTCCCTTCCCTTCCTCCCTCTGCTCGTCCCCCTCTCCCTTGCGTCCCAGACTCTCACCTCGGGATGTGGCCGGGGAATGAGACCGTCCAGGGTTCATGGGAGGCACAGTCACCCCACAGGGCTGGGGACCCCAGAGGGTTCCCGGGAAAGGAGACCCTGGAGTTGGGTCTAGAAAGTTCCAGCTTGACTAAGAAGATACGATGAGTACGGATTCCACACACGTGGAAAAGTCCAGAACAGGCCTCCCAGCCTGCAGGCACGCGGGGTCTTTAGCTGAGTCCGAGGAGAACAAGGCCAAGGTGAAGAACACTCGGGAGAACAGAGTGACGGTGGCCAAGCTTTGCTTTAAGGAAAAGAGGAAGGAGCTGGTTGGGAAGGATGGTAATGTAACTCACACGGCACTTTTGAGGTTCTGAATGAAAGAGATGGGGAAACTGAGGCCCAGGGAGGAGCAGAGCTGGCCCGGGTCCTGCCATGGTGGGGGCAGAGCCAGGTCGCCCATCGCAGGCTAATCGAGGGCCCCCTTTCCACCCAGAGCTGCCAGTCAGCACCTGCGGCGCCCGGCCTTGCTTCATCCTCACGAAAGAGGAAACAGAAGACAAGTTGGAAGGACCATGGAGGGGCGTGAGGTTGCCTCATCCCCCATCCTGCCCCGAGATCTGACTTGGGCCAGAGAGACTTTCGGCTTCTATTTTTATTTCTTTCCATAAAACATTGGAGGCCGGGCGCGGTGGCTCACGCCTGTAATCCTAGCACTCTGGGAGGCCGAGGCAGGAGGATTGCTCAAGGTCAGGAGTTCGAAACCAGCCTGAGCAAGAGTAAGACTCCGTCTCTACTAAAAATAGAAAGAAATTAACTGGCCAACTAAAAATATATAGAAAAAATTAGCCGGGCATGGTGGCGCATGCCTGTAGTCCCAGCTACTCGGGAGGCTGAGGCAGGAGGATCACGTGAGCCCAGGAGTTTGAGGTTGCTGTGAGCTAGGCTGACGCCACGGTGACGCCACGGCACTCACTCTAGCCCAGGCAACAAAGCGAGACTCTGTCTCAAAACACAAAACAAAAACACAAACACATTCCAAAGTACGGAAGGGCATTCAGTAAAACTCCCTCTCCCTGCCCTACTGCAATGGTCCCAGCAAGAGGCACCTGCCCACCCCAGAGCCTTTTTGACTGCTTGTCATTGTCCCCAGAGACACCATGGGGACCAGTGTGTCAAGGTGGATCTTTCTAGAAATAGTCTACGCATGGCCAAGAATACATGCTTAGGGAACAAAGTGAGGAGTAGTTGATATGGGGGACCCCAAAGTCAAGTTCAACTTCTGCCTCTGCTGTGTAGTAGCCGAGGAGACTTGTCCGTTCTGGGCTTCCTTTTCCTTACCTTTAAGGCGAGGCTGATACTAGAACCCACGTCGTGGGTTAGCGGAGAGAATTCAACGAGGTGACACGTAGGAAGTTTGGCCGGCATACAGTTGGTGCTCAATGCGTGTGGCATGTCTGTGCTTTCTTTCCCTTGCAAACAGCAGTGTGTTTTATACAGTATTCTGCACCTTGCTTGTTACCATGAGTAACGGGGTATTAGTAACGGGGTATTATTAATGGTATTATCAACCAGCATTTATTGAGTGCTTACTGTATGCCAGGCATGGTGCTAAATTCGAATTTCAGATGAAACAACCTATGAAAAAGGTACTTTACCCGCATGTATTTCAAAGGAGCTGCCTCTGTCTTTTTTAATCAATGGTGAAGTATTCCAATAGGAGGGTCCATGCCCAGAATTGGAGATTTAGGTCCAATATTGTCTTTCAAACTAAAACCGCCCCTCTACTTACGTCTTTGGACTAATGATTTGTGTTGTCTTTGCCAACTTGAGAGGGAGCTCATTGCACCTGCCAAGGATCTGAAGGCTTTTGTTTTTCACTTCGTTTTTTTTTTGTTTTTTTTCTTTTTTTTGAGACAGAGTCTCGCTTGTTGACCAGGCTACAGTGAGTGCCGTGGTGTCAGCCTAGCTCACAGCAACCTCAAACTCCTGGGCTCAAGCGATCCTCCTGCCTCAGCCTCCCTGAGTAGCTGGGACTACAGGCATGTGCCATCATGCCCGGCTAATTTTCTATATATATTAGTTGGCCAATTAATTTCTTTCTATTTATAGTAGAGACTGGGGTCTTGCTCTTGCTCAGGCTGGTTTCGAACTCCTGACCTCGAGCAATCCGCCCGCCTTGGCCTCCCAGAGTGCTAGGATTACAGCCGTGAGCCACTGCGCCCGGCTCACTTAGTTTTCAAAATGTGAGCGTTTCTGTATTTTAATGTTCAGGGATCTCTCATTGCTAAGATCACGCCAATTTAAGAAAATAAGTGGCCGGGCGCGGTGGCTCACGCCTGTAATCCTAGCACTTTGGGAGGCCGAGGCGGGAGGATTGCTCGAGGTCAGGAGTTCGAAACCAGCCTGAGCAAGAGCGAGACCCTGTCTCTACTATAAATAGAAAGAAATTAATTGGCCAACTAATATATATATAGAAAAAATTAGCTGGGCATGGTGGAACATGCCTGTAGTCCCAGCTACTTGGGAGGCTGAGGCAGGAGGATCGCTTGAGCCCAGGAGTTTGAGGTTGGTGTGAGCTAGGCTGATGCCACGGCACTCACTCTAGCCTGGACAACAAAGGAGACTCTGTCTCAAGAAAGGAAAGGAAAGGAAAGGAAAGGAAAGGAAAGGAAAGGAAAGGAAAGGAAAGGAAAGGAAAGGAAAGGAAAGGAAAGGAAAGGAAAGGAAAGGAAGTCGAGGTGCTAGACCGCACCTCTGACCCCGATGTCTCGGGGGTCGCAGGCTGTCGCGGTGTTTCCATGAGCCTGTGTGTGTCGCGTGGGAACGGGGTGGCGATGTTCAAGGGGAAGCTGACCTCGCCTTCCTGTGATCACTGGCCCTGCAAGTGTTCCTAGCTGGTCTGCTATCCTGATTTTCATGGCGGACCGTCGAGAGAACTTTCCTTATTGGAAAAATGGGGATCCGGGAGCCCAGTCCGTAGGGAAGAGGCTCAGGTGAAGCTGCCCGCCTGTGGCCAGTCCCGCCTCTTTTCTGTGCTCTCCTCTTCCCACTTTTCTTCCTTCCCTCGGCCATCAGCCCCATCCCCACTGGCCCAAATCACTGCCCCGGCCCCCCTCTCCGGTCCTTCTGCTTCTGGTCTCATCTCCTCACAGTGGCTTAGAGGGATGCTTCTAAACTGAAACTCTAACCTAGTCCCTCTCCAGCTCAAAAACCACCCATGGCTCCCCATTACCCCAGCATCAAATACACGTTCTTGAACATGGCATCTGCAGACATTCCGATCTCATCTCGGCCACCTGCCGGCCCTGCTGACCTTTCATTTCCTGGCGTGGAGCACGTGGCTTCCCTCTTACCCGAGGGCATTTCTACCTAGAATGCACGCCCCTCACGGCCCCTGCACTTTAGGCCTGGGAGCTTCTCAAACAGAGGGCTCTGGGGGTCGACTTTCAGGACTTCTCTCCTATCTCTGTGCTCGCTGACTGGGGGGACTTGGAAAGGTCTCTTAACCTCTCCGTAGCCTCAGTTTTCTCATCCATGAAATGGGTGTTGCGATTGCGACACCCCTCCTAGGGTTGTTATGTGGATTAAATGAGATAATATAGGAAAAGGGCTTAAAATAGGGCTCGGCGACTATTACTGCTGCTCTCATAAGTACCTCTCCTTCACCCTGGTCTCACCTGACCCCTTCGCGTCTCCTCACCGCAGCCACCCTCGTCTAAGCCACCATTGTCCCTCACCTCACCCAGACAATTCCAATCTCCTCTTCCTCCTCGTCTGCTCTGTGCCCCCTTTTCCTAGAACAGACGAGAGATCTTCTTAAAATGAGGATGGGAACTTAGGAGCAATGGGAGTACCCCGCCTTCACGTGGTGTGACTTAGATACGTGTCGTTATTAGGAAATTAACGAGGCGACACCCGCGACGCACCTAGGACGGTGCCCGACAATTAGGAAGCCCTAGGTAGCCCAGACCTGCCCTGTCCAACATGCTAGCCGTTATACACGCGTGGCTCTCTATACAACGTGCTTATACACGTGTGGCTCTCTACGTGCAATTAAAATGACACAAAATTAAAAAGTTCAGCTTTCTGGACGCACCTGTATTTCAAGCCCTCGGCTGCCACGCGTGGCTGGTGGCTGCCGTCTGGACGCACAGATACAGGACGTCTCCGTCATCATGGAAAGTTCTATGTAGCAGACAGCACTGCAGCTGTGCAGTTTTATTTCTGTTTTTTTTTTTTTTTTGGAAACAGGGTCTCACTTTGTTGTCCAGGCTAGAGTGAGTGCCGTGGCGTCAGCCTCGCTCACAGCAACCTCAAACTCCTGGGCTCAAGCAATCCTCCTGCCTCAGCCTCCCGAGTAGCTGGGACTACAGGCATGTGCCACCATGCCCGGCTAATTTTTTCTATATATATTAGTTGGCCAATTAATGTCTTTCTATTTATAGTAGAGACGGGGTCTCGCTCTTGCTCAGGCTGGTTTCGAACTCCTGACCTTGAGCGATCCTCCCGCCTCGGCCTCCCAGAGTGCTAGGGTTACAGGCGTGAGCCACCACGCCCGGCCTTGGACAGTTTTACTTCTTCGGGATGCTTTTCCCCCCCCTGCACCAGGCCGGACTCTAGTAAGCACCTCCGTTCTCATCCCAGTTGGTCCATGTCTCTCTCCCGGGAGACTGGAACCTCCCCGAGGCCAGGGGCCAGGTGTGGCACGGCAGGATCCCCGTCCTAAGGGAGCTAAGACCCATTTGTTCTCACAAATAAAGAAATGTTCTTAGAATCTTTCTTGGACCCCTAGCATGGCAGAACCGCGGGCCGTTTGATATATTTCATGTTCTGTCCAGTTTTTCAGAATGGGC